CATATGTAAGTCTATTTGTGTAAAATAGTATCCAGTTAAAAAGCAAACTCAAAAATAAATAATGAAATTAAAAAAGTAAATAAAATGTTATTTAAAAGTAATAAAAATAAAAAGTCTAGTTTGTGAGATGTACAAAAAGGTGATGTCATACTTTTCACTACATTGAAACAGGACATTATACTTACAAATATGTTACTATTAGTGTAGAATACAAGTGAAAAAACAAACTCAAAAATAAAAAGATGAAATAATGTCCGGATGTGTAAGATAACCTTGTGGAAACGTATAATTAATAATATCCTACATGCAAAAATATACACAATGGTCAATGAAAAAGTATACGAAGTACTTCTATTAATTATGAATTGCTAATTATAAAAAAAATTGAAATAATACTTGTACAAATGTTTGGCCGCTTGGGCAACAATTTCTAGACTACGAATTAACAACCTGTTGAGATTTGGATCGGTGAGCGTGCGTTGAACATTTTCCATTGCTTTTCTAGTTAAAATATTGTAGAAATGTAATTTAAAGAAAAGAAGCTAAAAATCTAGCTAGTCTCTTTATCGTGCCAAAAAATAAGAAATAATGTCAAAAATCATACTTCACATTTTCATTTGACAAAAATAGGACCACATCTTGTTTTGGCAAAAAAGAGACTCACGCATTTACACGCATGCACGCAGCCTCATCCTGCTTGTTCCAGCCATTTCAGAATTCAGACCATTGCCAACGTCTCTCCACACAGTTAGACCTCCGCCATCAGGGCCGGCCCACAGGGTGTGCCAGCAGTGCGGCCGCACAGGGCCCGTAAATTTCGAGGGCCCAAATTTTCAATAGCCTTCCTACAAATAGAGCCCAATATTCAGATCACATGCTTCACAATTAAAAAATGTCAACACCAGGGGATTCGAACCCTGGTGGGTATCTTACCCATAAGGACGCCGAACCAGCTTAACCATTTGGCTGTTGTTAACATCCTCTCAATTCGTAATTTTATACAGAGTATCATATAAAGTATAACTAAAAACTCATTGGATTCTAAGCTCATATATTCCATCCAATATTAATTTGTAATAATAATAATAACTACTATTATTTTTTATTGCATGTCATTAATAAATTAACAAACTATTAAATATGTATCAAATATTTATTACGTCTATCAATTATATTGATGTTAGGGAATAGTTTTATTTTAACTATTAATTTATAATTCAATTTAACAAATCAATGAAGTGTATTTTGTTAGGGAATAGTTTTATTTTAACTATTATGTTAGTGAATAACTTGTATTTTGATATATATGAATTATTATTGTAGCAAATTTTTACAAATATAATCTTCACTTATATTGTATTTCTACCTATTTTAGGAAAAGGTCTACATTTTATTTTTGCACAGGGCCCGTATTTTCTCGGGACCGGCCCTGTCCGCCATGGAAATCCAATTTAGCCATCTCACGCCGCCGCCGCGGTCTACATGTGAGCGCCTCCTCTTATCTTCCTTCTTCTACTTTGCGATGGAGATGACGAGCGGCGATTAGAGCATAACAGAGCTTCGTCGATGAGGAGTGGTGGCCTGTCGATGGGAAGCGATGAGCAGCGATTGTTTCTAGTTCTAGAACCTGGGTTAGCTATTGTTTCCTATTGGGTGGCATGTGGCGGTAGATTGCCGTTGACCAGGGGCGGAGCTAGGGGAGGGCCAACCCTGGCCCTGGCCCAGCCCAAATTTTAAAAATGTCTACATTTTTAGTGTAAAAAATTCCGTGTAAATTTTTTTCCAAAAATATTCTTTGTATCGGCCCAGTCCGGCCCAGTGTCCTGGCTGCGCCCCTGCCGTTGACGGTGGGGGCAACAGAGATGAGGCCGGAGGCTGGAGTCTTAGGGGTTGGTGTTGGGGAAGGGTGGAGAGGGGACTAGGGAGGCTATATAGTGGTTGGCTTGTCACTAGCAGCGGTGGTGGCCGATGGTTGTGGTCGATGGAGGCCGGTGGTGGTCGGCAGCGATGAACGGCGGTAGTCACTATTGGGCCTAATTGTAAGCAGTCAGATCGAGTAACTGTAATTGTAATTGATCGGGTCTCGTAATTGTAATTAATTAGGTTGAGTAACTGTAGCGGGTTAAATCGGATAACTGTAATTGACCAGGTCGGGTAACTGTAATTAGTTATATCAGATAATTGTAATTGGTCGAGTCGGCTAACTATAACTGGTCAAATTTGGTAACTATAAATACCGATTGGTCACTAGTTGAATTGGTCGTGGTCACTGGCAGTGGCGGAATTAGAATGAAAATAAGTTAAGGTGTGGCTAAAATTATTGCAAAATGCAAAAATATAAATTGTTATTAAAGTTTACAGAATATAAAATTTGTGAGAAGAGTACATTACATTACAATTAAATGCTAGAAGAAGAAGAAGAAGAAGAAGTCAATTCAGACAATTGCGTGCGGCGTGTCTGCATACAATGAAAACGTTGTAAAATTGCTTCATTTCAATTTTGGAAAAAAATTCCTTCTCCGTGTTGATCACCAAACTTTCATTCACCCATTCATCTCCCATTCTACTACTTAAATCAGTCTTGATGATTTTCATGCCAGAAAAGACTCTTTCAACTGAAGTTGTTGTAACCGGTAAAACTAGCGCCAACTCAATAAGACGATATAACAAAGAAAACACAAGGTTCATGTCACTTTCAACCATCTGTTTGTCAAGACTTCCCAAATCTTCAATTGCATGAAATTGACTTTGACTCTTTACGACATGAATGTATGTCTCAAGTTGTTTCTTGATTATAAAACGATCGGTGGAAGAAAAGTCTTCCACATACATTGCAGCCACATGAATCAGTTTATCAATGTCAAACTGGGAGAAAGAATTTTTTGGATTAAGACATGTAATACATGTAAGTAACTCAGTACTTGTTTCTTGAAAAATGATTATTCATCTCCACAATATAATCATCTTGTCAACAACCTAATATATAGTACAAAATAATATAATCAAAGTACTTGAATACAATACTAATATTAAAAAATAATCAAAAGACATAGTCACATACCTCACAAAAGATTCCGCCGCGGAAGTGAATGAAATTTGTGGTTGTCTTTCCGCTTGGTCTACTTTGCCCGCAAATTAGTCCTTCTTCTTCCATCTTTAAGATCGGGATGTTCACTTTTTCACTAAATGTATTTGTTTCTTCTAAAAGAGTCTCCCACCCATTATCTCAGAATTCTTGCAATCAAACTTTCATTGTCCCAATCAAGTTGATAGCCAAAATAATTTTTTGATCTTTTTGTTGCAAGGCAAGAGACAACTCATTAGTAATTCCAAACAAATACGTCATTAAATGCATAATGAAGACAAATTCATAATTCTCCATCTTGTTGATTAAACTTGTAGCCATACCCCGCTCCTCGGTCTCCATCATCATGCACATTTTCAAGTGCTTTTAAAACCGAAGTCCACATAGACATCAAACGACAATATTTATGTAGTGTGACCCCCAATGAGTATCCCCCAGTCTTCTCAAACTTACTTCTTGATTTTTCCCTTTCCCACTTACTATCTCTCCCTTCTCCAAACTCTCAACTAGTTTGATCTGTCATGCTCTATTTGTCTAAGTCTATCTTTTCTTTTACAAGAAGAACCAGTGACATTCACAAGCATAATAACATATTGTAAAAAGTCACACACAATTCGATTAGACTTAGCAGCAATAACAACGTACAACTAGTTGAAGTTGGTGAGAAAAGCAATGCACATACCTTGGAGAAGATAATGAAAACTTGTATCATCTTACATAATATGATCATTGAGAGTGAATGTAGCCAAGGAATGAATCCTGAAAATTGGCAGCCTCTTGGAGATGAAAGAGTTGAAAATGTTGAATTAGAGCGTGATTATAATTTTATTGTCTCTAGAATGATCGGAAGAATGAAACAAGTTCAAGACAAGAGAGTTCACAGAGACTTGAAAAATGATCTCATCAATCATATATGGGAGCTATATGGTGGTCAACAAGCAAGCTGATATTAAAGTAGATCTTTTAATAAGAAAGTCTTACATTAGTCATTGAAGTTTATTTTTATTTCGATGAAAGATATTCTACTCTTAATCATTATTCTTAGAACTGTGTCAATTTTTTAGAATTATTTATTTATTTGGATTGGATTGATTATTTTCAATAAGTTGATTGTAATTGTAATGTTTTTTGATTTATTATTTCGAATTGTTGATTATTTAGATTTCTGATAAATCTTAATGGGGCTGTTGTGTTCTTCAAGGGTAATTCTTTTTTTCTATTCTGAAACTTCAGCTCTTATGTGTGACTATATCTGTATATGACTATATGATATTAGGTTGCTTCTTTAGAAATGTTACATTCTCGGTCTTATTTCATTTGCTCAAGGCATACTTCTTTCTATATCTTGTTCATAACATCAAGTACATTTTTGTTTTCCTTCAAGTTCAACCATATTACCAGGAATAGCAAAGTCCATGAACTACTTGTACATTTAAAACCTATCTGATACATTTTAAAGCTTTCTGATACATTTAAAAGCTATCTGATATGTAGCAAAATTCCTTGACCATTCAAAAAATGAGCTCCTAAAGTAAGCTAGTTTACAAATGTATCAAAATGAGCTCCATGTTGGAGGCAAAATATTCTTTAATGAGGGCTGCACAAAAGTGGTACTGCTCAAAGATGGTGGGCCGCAAGTGAGCTCTAGATATTCTATCCTCATTTTTGTACTGTGTGGATAGTCAATAACTATACCACCTGCAAATCCTGCTCGCATAGCAAAACCGATAATAGTTGCTTATATGACACTGGTGCTGCAATGAATTAAATTGCTGCTGACTTGTAATTCTGCCTGAAATTATAGATCAGCTTAAAGCCACATAAATAATTCTCATTTGAGGCCTGCAATTAAAATAAATAGCTGCAATGTGGCCTGAAATAAGAAAGCAAACAATAGAGATTTACACCTTATTCATTGTAATATCATGTTGCATAAGGTGTTTAAAAGAGAGCTGCAATGTCGTTTAATGAAGTGAACACAATGAATATAAAGAATAAAAAGTCTAATGTCTTCCTAATACTTCACGAACCTAAACTTTATCTAAACCATAAAAAGAATTGTTCCAAACTAGCAAACCAAAGAAAAAAAAATAAAAAAAAATAAAAAAAAAATAACTAGTCTTCAAACAGAATGTCTTCTACTCTTCCAGCAAGTTTTAATATTTGGCTTCACAAAGACTTGAATCTCAGTAGCTGTAGTTCAACCTGCCACACAATAAAAAATAGCATAAGGTTTTTAATAAATATTTTTTTCTAAGTATTACTAGTAAATTAAAGAAATGGTAGATAAATATTCAATTACCAAAAAAACCATCTTTTTCCCATTCTTTAAAAATTTGTGATTGATACATCTCAAATGTCTCTCTAATGCTTGAGGGAAGCTTGGTAATGTCTTGATTCAAAATATGCTCTTGATCTAGTCTCTTTTGAGACTTCTCCTTGAACTTTTGAGCATTTTCTTTTAATTGTTGATCTTTCTCCTTGAACTTTTGAGCATTTTCTTTTAATTGTTGATCTTTCTCCTTTAATTTCTGAGCATTTTTTTTCAGCTCCAACTCTTCTTTCATTACCATTTCTCGTAACTCAAATTTCTTCAAGTCCTTTTCCTTCTTTGCCCTGAGCTCTTCTTGACTAACACAAATCTGTTTTTCCAGCACAGTTTGTAAGTTGATCAAAGCATCAACTACACATTTTTCATCATTCATCCTCCTTTTTTTTTCTTTAGTAGCTTTTCTTCCTTCAGGGCGTTCAATATCACTGCATTTACCAGCACTAGTAGCATCTACATTAATGGGATGTTGGTCTTCATTACCTAAACTCACTTGTGGAGTTGGTACTCGGGTATCCCCACTTGCATTGGTAGCTTTTTGCTTGGAGATATCTTTGGTCCTAGTACCCTCCTTCACACACCATTTGGGATTTATTTTCATGATATCCCAACAATGTTCATACTTGAAAGATTGACCTTGATTAATATCTTCGTACATGCGCATTGCCTCTCGCCTCTGCAAACATTTAAAATAAAATGAAAATAAAAATACAACATAAAGTAGTAGATATACACACATATAGATTTACACAAATACAAAGTTTGTTCTTGATCATATATACACACATTAACACATAATAAAAGGAAGGCACGTTGTAATATTTAAAATGAATGAGAATAAAAATATAACAACACAAAGTACAAATTACCTTATCAAAAGAAAATATTGTGGTCACCATACCCAACCCTCTGACCCAATGCAGATGCAATCCATTTATCTATTGTATGCATGCAACCGAATGCTAATTTTATAGCATTATTTAATACTGAAGTGTTCATATTATTTAATCACAGTGTGAGAAACCTAGTGGTCCTAGTCAAGTTACTGAACAAGCTAATCATTCAGCAGTAAATTAGACAACCTTAACGGAGTACAAGTTCTTATATATGCTACTACAAAAATGACAATAACTTCTTATGCTGCTACATGTTCAAATCATTTGTTCATTTATTAAACTTCAGTGATGAGTCTCTTTTATGGAAGGTCTAGATTCTAGACGGGTGACACCTAAATCAATATGTAGTCATATCTCCATCACATCGAGTAAAAAAAAGCACCAAGCATCACAAGATATATAATAATCTTAAAGAGAAATAAAGGAATCTAGGGTCTGCCTTACCTCCAATTGAATTGTGAAAAGAAGAAAAAGCACAAGGGTTTTAGAATACACTATCTATCCAAAATTGGAAAGAACTAGCTGCAGTTATAACATTCTAGGTGAGGCCTGAAATTGCTTGACTAGGCATCATCATAAAAATATATTCTTTATGAAATGTGAACCTCACAGTAAAAGAAGGCAGATTGTACTATTTAAAATCAAATGAGAACAAAAATATAACAACACATAATAGAAATTACCATATCTTCTTGGCTTGCTCCACTCTTTGGATTCCTTTGTAGTCGCTCATATAAAGCATGAAATTTGTTCACTGCAGGTACGATCTTACTCCAACGAGATTGCAAGGCATTTGTTGTGTGAGACTCATCATAAGTTCCCATTTTCTCCCTCCAAACTTGGAAGATACGATTCCACATATTAGCAATTTTTTGATTGTTACCGACATCAGCATCAACAGAAATATATAGCCAAGCCCTTCTTAGTGCTATGTCTTCATCTTTGCTCCAGTTTTTGCTGCCTCCTACTGTATGAGAGATACTCGTATTTTGTACGATCTTGTTATTTTTTTTCTGGTACTCTGCTCATTTTAGCAACATGACTCTCTAATGGAATATTAGAAGAGTTTGAAAGATCTTGAAAAGGAACTCCATACCCAAATGGTGAGTGAGCACGTGGAAATGAAGGATGCATCATAAAATTCGGATTAAAAGTCATGTTTGATGAACCAAATGGGATAGATGTGAACATCTGTGACTGCATGTTAATCTGTGAAGTGCTGCCATGTTGAGAAGTGAGATCAGTTATCTCAGTGTCTTTATGAGTATGTTCATGGTAAGCAAATGGCTGCGATGTTGACTCCATCTATGCAGAAATCAATAAATTTACATAAGAGATTGTTGAAAGATATATGCCGATAACTCCACATCATTTTTGTATTTGTCCATCTGTGGCTATTTCTCTTTACCTTACTAAGTTACACTTATCATTCAAGAAATGACTATGAAACACAAAAGGTTGGAAAATTTTTCCCCAAATTCTTTGTAGTTATCTATTATAATAATTCTCTGTTATGATTGTTTTAGGCAGTTGAAGGTAGTAAACGGTTTATATTTATTTTTCCAATTCTTGACATTTGATCATTGAAGAGGTTTCATTACAATGGAAAAAAACTTGCATCATGGTAAAATGACGACTTAATATAAATCATTCAATTTGATTCGAGGAAAATCATTTTCTTGGATTCCTAACTGGTGTTATCCAATTTGTGGTGAATTCTTAATACTGTCTTTTATCAACTCACAATTCGAAGAAGGTTATACGTTCATAAACATATATGTACACAAGATAAGACATATATCAACTCACAGTTATATACATGTGTCTTTTTATACGTATAAGTGGGTATAACCTTTTACATAACATATGTGTTGCTGTGAATTTGCAAGTCTTTTATCAACTCACAGGCTCGTCAAAGCAGTGCACATCTTAAGACACTCACGAGTCATGCCCCCTTTTGTTGTAAAAAAAAAGTAAATCTTACTGAAAAAAATTCTCCCCTAGTTAACCTATCTGTGATCTGATCAATCTCAGATTCTTAAGCAATATTAAACGTAAGTAATAGCAAGAACAAACAAGAGAGAAGAACCGATCTGCAAATCTTAATGAACAAAATTCATCCCTTGTTAACCTATCTGTGATCGATCTTCGATTGCTAAGTCATACTCAACAAAATTAATAGCAAGAGCAAATAAAAGGGAAGAGCAGATTTCATTCTCACCGTGAATGGATTTCAATTGAAACCTGGTATGAACTCTATAAGAATTGAATCAAAGGGGAAGTTTAGAAAAATACCTGGAAGGCGGGTGAAGAGCCGCAGCGAAGAGCACCAGCGAGAGATCTTGTAAAACCGCTTTGACGAGCCTCTTTGTAGGCTGAAATTTTGAGATTTGGCGGCTGAAATTTTTGAGATTAGGCGGAAAATTTTTCTCTTGCCGCCAACAACTTGCTGAGTCAGACTGTGGGAAAGGCTCGCCAGAATAGAAAGGGAGATAGAGGACGTGCGTTTTCTCCCGTTCCAGCTCAGCGGCCCACGATATATTCACTTTTCCATTGGAGCAAGAAAATTAACCTCAAAGTCTATTTAGCTGATGTGGCAATTCATTTTTAAGCAACCCATTTTGCCATTACGGATGCTCTTAGAAGAAATTACCAAAAAACGGGAGTTTCTTGTCTAACATTCCAAAAAACGGGAAAGTGATTTAGGTTACCAAAAAGCGGGAGTCGGAATTGGAGAATCCGACTAGCGTATTAGGGTTTCATTTTTCACGCTTTTCTCCTATCGGAATTGGGGAATCCGACTAGAGTTGTGTGATTTTTTTTAAAACCCCTAGTCGGAATTGGGGAATCCGACTAGAGTATTGTGTAGTTTTTTTTTTTTTTTGAATAAATTTGTGTAGTTTTTTTAAAAGTCAGGTGAGGTGTTTAATTGGGGTTCGACTATTTCACCGAACTCCTACACTGATACCCCTATAAAATCCCTTCATTTCTTCTCAAAATTTACAAACACATTCCAAAAACACTTATTTCTTTGTTATAGTAATTTATTCATTATTCACCCAAAAACACTTCTTACTTTAATTTCTTTGATATATTCATTATTTTTTTTTGTTTAGCACTCTCCTCTCATATTATATTTATAATATATACCATATATAAAAATGTCTAGTGAGGGTAATATTGTTGTTATGGTTCATTGGAATGGCTCTACATCTCAAAAAGATGATGAAATAGAGTACTCCATACCTCCTAGGGCTGTACTATTCATCAGTGAAGAAGATGATTATACTACTATACATGAGAATGTTCTAAATCATGTTAGAGGCGACGGATTTTCCGAAATTAAATTAATTCACGGAAAATTTCCGAAATATAAGAATTCGGTATATGTTGCTTCTAGATTATGGCCCATTCATGATGAGCGGACATGGCGTCATTTTTTCCGGATCGCTACAAATGAGTATGAGGAGTTGCACATTTACGTGGAAGCTTCAGTGACCCCGCCACAAAATTTGACGTTCCACGGAACTCCCGGAGTGGAAGGCCCATCATCAAGTCGGAGAAACAACCGCCAAACGTTTCAGAACTACGAAACTCCCGGTATGTATAGTTCAAGTTAAGTAGAATTTACAATGATTTCATTTTATTTGTTGTCATTTTAAGAGTGTAGAAGTAGTTAATTTAGTAATTTGTAAATTTTTAATTTAGATTGTGAAATTGGACTTTTAGAGTAAAATTTAGCTTAAAAAGGGCTATATAAGGCTATATATATCTTTAAATATTATTTACGATATTGATTTAGACGGAGATAGTATCACTAAATTAAAAAGGCTATATATATCTTTAACTTATAATTTGACTTAATTAGTTTTTTAGGAGTGTAGAAGTAGTAGATTTAGTAATTTGTGAATTTTTTAATTTATTTGTTAAATTTGAACTTTAGAGTTAAATTTAGCTATAAAATACTTGAAAGTTAGAAAGAGTGTTAAATTTAGAATTTGCCTTAAAGTTTGGTTTTAGGAGTGTAGACGTAGTTCATTTAGAATTTTTTAATGTTTTAATTTAGATTGTTAAATTGGAATTTTAGAGTTAAATTTGGCTATAAATTACTTGAAAGTTAGAAAGTGTTTTACATTGATTTGTGAAATTGGAATTTTAATTTAGTGTATAATATTATTCTTAATATATCTTTGTAATTCAGATACAAATATTATGGAATTTTAACAGATAATCAAATAAATTTTATATCAAAATTCATGTGATTATATTTCCTTTGTATTTTTCGCATCTAGCATTTCGCATCTACCGCATCTATCCAAACCATATGTACAAATTCATTAATGTCTTTAATGTAAATAATAATATGGAGTATTATGTTGTGCAAACCGTACAGCATTACATGGGACCAAGACATATTTAGATTTTAATGTAAATAAAAAATGAAATGTAATGCTGTCGGAATTCACAAATCCGACCAGGATTTTTTTATAGAATTTTTTATATGCCTATTTTAAGTGCTGTCGGATTAAAATAGGGAAAAAAAAAATAAAAAAAAACCCTGTCGGATAGCCCAATTCCGACTAGGGGGTGTTTTTTAGAAATATTTTGTTTTGTTTTGAAAAACTATATATATTAAATTTTACAAATTACATTTTATATAAATTACATTTTTATAGAAAACTTTTATTTTGTTTAGAAGTATTTATTTTAGTATTTTTAACTCATTCAATTAGATAAACTCACATTTTATAATATAACGCGTTTAAACAAAATCTAACCCATTAAGTCATATGAAATCATCCAGACTCAGGGGAAGAGTCGGACGACCCAGACTACGAACAAGGTTTTTGTAGTGATGTCGATTCAGCCACGAGGGATAACAATGACGAGACAGTAGACCCCACCTGGGCCAATCTAGAGCTAGAAGAACCATATGAGCTAGATTATGAGCCTGAAAGACTCGAAGTCGGCGCAATTTTCCCTTCATATGATGCACTGAAAGAAGTGGTGGCGAGAGAAAACATTCGTCAATTTCGTCAATTCCAATCGGTTGACAAAAGGGTACGGTCCTGGAAGGCGGTTTGCATATACCCTTTGCACTTGGCATATCCAAGCAGCAGAAGGTATGACTTCAACAAAGTGGAAAGTAAAAAAATATCAACCCCATCACAGTTGCAGGGAGGATCCTGTCACGGCTCGGGATGATAAGATCCTAACGGCCAAGATCATAGCGAGTGAAATCGCTCCAAAAGTGAAAGTCGACCCGGACTACAGCATTAAACTTATAATGTCAGACATATATGAAAAATTTGATATCCGTGTTTCATATAAAAAAAGCTTGGAATGGACGCTTGATCGCTCTGGAGCGTAAATTCGTCAATTGGGAGGCCTCATATAATGAACTTCCTATGTTGTTGGAAGCTATACAGTTTTCAAATCCGGGGACGGTTGTTCATTTGCAATCACAACAGGCCAGCAGTCCTGATACGTCTGAATTCCGTCGAGTGTTCTGGTCATTCAAAGCTTCTATAGACGGTTTCAGATTTTGCTTACCCGTAGTCTCGGTTGATGGGACTCACTTATATGGAAAATACAAGGGGGTTCTTCTAGTAGCGGTAGCCATGAACGCTAACCGTGAGATATTTCCTCTTGCATATGCTGTTGTTGAGAGTGAGAATGCTGACAGTTGGTCGTGGTTCTTTGCAAGGGTTATGCGTGATGTGGTTGGAAGTCATCGTAGTGTGTGCGTTATCTCCGATCGTCATGCAGGAATTGAAAGTGCATTTAGATCCTTACCAGAGTTGAGATCGCCACAAGTTTCAAAGCGTTATTGTCTCCGTCACATACGGAGTAATTTCATGACGAAGTTTAGAAACGCGGAACTGAATAAATTATGTTGGCAAGCTGGTAGCACTCCCACAGAACAAGAATTTCATGACTGTATGGAACAAATACGAGGCATAAATGAGAGTGCCTTTTTGTATTTGAATGAGATTCCTGTTGAGATGTGGGCCCTGAGCTATGACGATGGCAAAAGATATGGCATTTTGACGACAAACCTTTCAGAAAGCTTTAATAATGTCTTAAAGGGATGTCGCACATTGCCTATCTGCGCACTAGTAAAGGCCACATTTGATAAAGTGGTCCAACTATTTGCCGATGGACGAAATGCGGGAATAATGTGGCACCAAGCTGGATTCTTGTATCCAAAGAACATATGGAAGGCTGTTGTTGAGCGATCACAGCGTAGGTATCACACAACAATTGTCCCGCACAATCGAACAACGGGGATTTACTCTGTAGCTATTAGTTCGCATGATCCAATGACAATCGATCTGACAAGGCAGGAATGTGGGTGCGAGTATTGGAAGCAGAATGGGCTGCCATGTGTTCACGCATATGCGGTTTGTCGGTTTTTAAAAATAACCGTAGACGGCCTAATCCCAGCTGTGTATTCGTTAAATGCGTACATCCGGACGTACGCTTCTGATATTATGCCTATTAATAATGCGTACATCCCAGCAGAAACACAACATACACTTCTCCCACCCACAAACAACAGATCGGCTCGAGTCGGTAGGCCACAGAGAACTCGATTTACTAACAAAATGGATTTGCGTGCTACGGGTAGAGGAAATGAGTAATATTGTAATGTATACGTTTCTGGATTTTTTGTTTTGCATCCAATTAGTAATGAAATATTTGTTCTCTTTTTCGAATCTGTTTCATTGTATCTGACATTTTGGTTCACATAAATTCCATCAGATAAATTTAATTTTGTACGACGCCGTATAAATTCAGATAAAATCAATTAGATAAAATCAAGCTGATAAAATTTTATCAGATAAAATCAATTAGATAAAATCAAGCTGATAAAATTTTATCAGATAAAATCAATTAGATAAAATCAAGCTGATAAAATTTTATCAGATAAAATTAATCAGATAAAATCAAGTTGATAAAATTTTATCAAATAAAATTAATCAGATAAAATCAAGGAGATAAAATTTTACTCCCTCCGTCCCATTTTGGTTGTCCTACTTTCCTTTTTGGGTTGTCCCAAAATGAATGTCTTGTTTCATTTTTTGGATGAAATATGTGGTTCTTATCAATTCACTTTATTATACTTAAATCTCAACCACAACTTTTACTTTTCAACCACTTTATTAATAATCGTGCCAAATTGAAAGTGGACAACCATTATGGGACGGATAGTATCAGATAAAATTAATCACATAAAATTTAATAACTTCGATACTCCTACCTAACTATCAGTCGGCAAACAAACACATTCATCCATAATCTAGGCTCTCTCTAGTCGGAACTGCCAAATCTGACTAGGAGATTTTTAATTTTTTTCCACCCATTCCAGTCGGAACTATGCAATCCGACTGGGACTTGATAAATACTCCTGCAACCCTCGTTCGATTACTCATTACTTCATCATTAATCCATCACTCTCAGATTTTCATTCCCATACAACCGTCCTCACAAGTTAGCTGCCCTCAATCAATCTCAATTTTTTCATTCCGAAGCAACGATACTCACAACCAAATCAAGTTATCTACCCTTTGGGATCAGACAAATTTTGAGGTTAGTTAAATTTCGGTTTGAGAAGTGTACAAGTAATTAAATTTTTAATTTGTGAATTTTTAATTTATATAGTCAAATTGGACTTTTAGAGTAAAATTTAGCTATAAAATACTTGAAACTTAGAAAGTGTGTTACATTTAGGATTTGCCTTAAATTTCAGTTTTAGGAGTGTAGAAGTAGTTAATTTAGTAATTTGTGAATTTTTAATTTATGTTGTGAAATTGGACTTTTAGAGTAAAATTTAGCTATAAAATACTTGAAACTTAGAAAGTGTGTTACATCTAGGATTTGCCTTAAATTTTGGATTTAGAATTGTAGAAGTAGTTAATTTTTGAAGTTGTGAATTTTTAATTTATATTGTCAAATTGGACTTTTAGAGTAAAATTTAGCTATAAAATACTTGAAACTTAGGATTTGCCTTAAATTTCAGTTTTATGGGTGTAGAAGTAGTTAATTTAGTAATTTGTAAATTTTTAATTGAGATTGTGAAATTGGACTTTTAGAGTAAAATTAAGCTATAAAATGTTTGAAACTTAGAAAGTGTTTTACATTTAGGATTTGCCTTAAATTTCAGTTTTAGGGGTGTAGAAGTAGTTAATTTAGTAATTTGTAAATTTTTAATTGAGATTGTGAAATTGGACTTTTAGAGTAAAATTTGGCTATAAAATGTTTGAAACTTAGAAAGTGTTTTACATTTAGGATTTGCCTTAAATTTCAGTTTTAGGGGTGTAGAAGTAGTTAATTTAGTAATTTGTAAATTTTTAATTGAGATTGTGAAATTAGACTTTTAGAGTAAAATTTGGCTATAAAATGTTTGAAACTTAGAAAGTGTTTTACATTTAGGATTTGCCTTAAATTTCAGTTTTAGGGGTGTAGAAGTAGTTAATTTAGTAATTTGTAAATTTTTAATTGAGATTGTGAAATTGGACTTTTAGAGTAAAATTTGGCTATAAAATGTTTGAAATTTAGAAAGTGTTTTACATTTAGGATTTGCCTTAAATTTCAGTTTTAGGGGTGTAGAAGTAGTTAATTTAGTAATTTGTAATTTTTTAATTTAGATTGTGAAATTGGACTTTTAGAGTAAAAATTAGCTATAAAATACTTGAAACTTAGAAAGTGTGTTACATCTAGGATTTGCCTTAAATTTTGGATTTAGAATTGTAGAAGCAGTTAATTTTTGAAGTTGTGAATTTTTAATTTATATTGTCAAATCGGACTTTTAGAGTAAAATTTAGCTATAAAATACTTGAAACTTAGGATTTGCCTTAAATTTTAGTTTTAGGGGTGTAGAAGTAGTTAATTTAGTAATTTGTAAATTTTTAATTGAGATTGTGAAATTGGACTTTTACAGTAAAATTTAGCTATAAAATGTTTGAAACTTAGAAAGTGTTCTACATTTAGGATTTGCCTTAAATTTCAGTTTTAGGGGTGTAGAAGTAGTTAATTTAGTAATTTGTAAATTTTTAATTGAGATTGTGAAATTGGACTTTTAGAGTAAAATTTAGCTATAAAATGTTTGAAACTTAGAAAGTGTTTTACATTTAGGATTTGCCTTAAATTTTGGATTTAGAATTGTAGAAGTAGTTAATTTTTGAAGTTGTGAATTTTTAATTTATATTGTCAAATTGGACTTTTAGAGTAAAATTTAGCTTACAAAAATTACCATTACACAAATAAGTTAGATGAATTTGTATTATACGTAGTATATGGAAAAGGGTATAGTAATTATAAACTTTGGTGATTTTAGATATAAAAAAAATTATTTTCGAAAATTAAAAGGGTAATAATAAGTTAAACGTAGTATTAGATTATATTAAATGAATTCACATATGGACTACAACAAATTATTTACATTCTAGATGGTATGGAATATAGCAAATTGAGTTAACCTTTAGTGTTATACATAGTTGGTTTAGTATTAGATAGCGAATTGAGTTAAACTTTAGTCAAGTGAGTTACAAATTTTAATAGTTAAAAGTTTAAATTAGTTAAAATAGATGATATTTTATAGTTAAATTAATGTTATACACAAAAGTTATTTTAGATTACTTTAGATAATCAAATTAGATAATCAAATTTAGATGGATTAGTATTATATAGTGAATAGGGTATATTAATTACATTTTTGAAATTTAGTATAAATAATATAGCAATTAGTTTGAACTAGTAATTAAGTGAATTGAGTTTAATTTTGGTGATTTAAGATTACATTGTAATTTATCGAAAATTAAATGCCAATACTACATATCATGAGTTAATCTTAAATATTATAACATAATGAGTATATATCACTGGTATTAGTAATATATGTATTACTTAGTGTATTATATACTTAGGCTAATATATTAAATAATACTAATATTATGCATAATTAGGCTAATTAATTACTCTATAATTTAATATCATTATAATAATATTACGCGTACCTAATTAGTTAGATATAATAATTGGACTTTTACTCATTAAAATCGAAATTAGTAGTTATTTTGGTAACTTTTAGGATTTTAATTTTAGATTGTGAATTTATAGTGTAGGAGTAGTTAATTGAGTAATTTGTAAATTTTTATTTGAGATTGTGAAATTGGACTTTTAGAGTAAAATTTAGCTATAAAATGCTTGAAACTTAGAAAGTGTGTTAATTTTTTAAGTTGTGTTTATACGTAATTAGTAATTGTTAGAACCTCTCATCATAATTATGAAATATTTCCTTTAATGTCAAATTGGACTTTTACTAAAAAAAATTACTTTAATAATTGGACTATTACTCATTAATTTTGAAATTACTAGTTAGTTTGGTAACTTTTAAGTTTTTAATTTTAGATTTAGAGTTCAATTTTGAAATTAGTAATTTATAACTACTTATTTCAGGAATTTCAAATGGACCAAAACACTTCGCGCCCAGGGCCTGTTAACTGTTCCCTACTCACGTTGCCACTGCGTGCCCATCGTGCTGACCGTGTGTGGTATGAACCAGATTCCAAAGACTTGTGCTTAAAATGCGTGAATTGCCCTTCAGCTGCATTCGGAGATGAGGAGAGAGATGAAAGAGTAACAAATATGTTAGCTTATGCTGGGTTCTTGGGGGTAGAGCACATTGCCCGTATGAAGGTGGATCATAGTTTAATATGCGCTTTGGTGGAGAGATGGAGGCCGGAGACACATACTTTCCATCTTCCATTCGGTGAGGTTGGCATTAGCCTACAAGATGTGGCGATGATCCTTGGTTTGCCCATTCGAGGTATGCCCCTTAGTGGTCCTACCATTAAGGGTAAGGCTCAGTGGATCAACCTGTGCACGCAGTCATGTGGTTTCACTCCTTTAGAGACTGATATGCGCACAAGTGATATCACCTTGAGTGATGTTACCCGTCACCCGATTGTACCTGACAGTACAGACGAAGAGGTCACCGAACACACCAGGACCCTAATATGGCAATTGCTTGGAGGGTTTTTGTTCCCTGACACGAGTGGGACAAGAATACGATTGTACTTTTTGGAAGTCTTGCAGGGTGACTTGGCTTTAGCCCGTCGATGGAGTTGGGGATCGGCGGTTCTCGGGTACCTCTACCATAACTTGTGCAACGGCGCCAAGTGGGAAACCAAACAAGTTGGTGGCTGTATGCACTTGTTACAGATTTGGGCTTGGTCGAGGATTTCGATGTTCCGTCCCTCAGTACTTCAGGTCATTCAACATGACCATCTTCCATATGGGTGCAGGTATGTTGCCAATTACATCTTAATAATTGAGAATGCTTTATTTGACGTTACATTTTTTAACTTCATATCGCTAATCAACAAATGTAGGTGGATCGTCCCCAAGTCATATAAGGGATCCCCAAGACATTGCATGCGCTTGTACCGGGATGACCTAGACCGCATGAGTGAGAATCAGGTAGTACTTGAAATTTTTAATTCAACTGTACTATTCAATTTTCAATACACATTGTTTTATAGTTCTGAAATTATAAATTAAATTTTGTACAGTTTGATTTCATTCCCTACGCGTCCGAGACACTCCCACCTCTCGTCCTTAATGAAACTCCGCTTTGGTCAGCTAGGGTCATGCTCATATTTTGCAATATGGCCGAAATGCATTACCCCGATCGATTTCTTCGGCAGTTCCATATAAGGCAAGATATTCCAAATGCTCCTTTGACAGGTAATGATAATCATGGCAATCGTTCCAACATAGTAACCGGTGCCTTGGCGATGTGGGTGAACATACAACATCACATATACTTTCTTGATTACGCTCAACATATGTTCCTCGAAGCAACTAATAGGTACCGAAAATGGTACAAGAAGTATGGTATGACACGTGTCCAGAACCCTTCTCACAATGTGCCCACGACAGGCTACACCCCGACAGCACACGATTGGGGTATTGTGGTAAGTTTTTGAATACATACCATATTCATTAACATATATCGTGTCATATTGTTTACATGTTACAAAATTTTATGTAGAAGCAAGGCGTTCACGAGGTGTATCAGCTCTTAGCCGATTGTGCGAGTTATGAGGACTGTCAAAAACGACTACGGCAGATGGCCCTGGACGTAGGTGATGAAGAGATGCTCCACCGGGGCATATTCCATTATGAAGATGAAGATGAAGGTGGAAGTGACGAAGAGGATGATACAGATGAACATGAAGGTGGGGGTGAGGACTCACCATCGCTCCCTCAATTCTCAACACATGGTGTCTCATTTGATCAACCACCCCCTCAATTCTCAACACAGGGTGTCTCATTTGATCAACCACCCCCTCAATTCTCAACCACCCCAAGTTTGTAACCGACCTAACTAATACTTCGTCTAATTGAAGTTTTATTTAATAAAAAAAGAAAAGAAAGTTGGTCATTTATAGCCCTGCTATAATGTGAAGCCTTTCCTATTTAAAATCTACGGAGTATATTTATATAAACCTTCTTTCTTGAATCGTTCTTTTCAATTGTTTTTTTTTTTGGATATTTTGACTTTGCACCCCGCTTTTTGGTTGATATTGAATTTTGCACCCCATTTTCCCTTATTTCTTCTAAAACATCTTTGTCGTTACACCCCATTCAAGATTTTTTCTTCACATAATGTTGTAGATAGGGCGCAAAGTCTAAAAGTTTTTAAAATGGGGTGCAAACTCAAAATTCCCCTATTTATTTTTCAGAATATAAGAGTGAATTTTACACAAATAATATCACTTTTAAAATTTGATTTCAAAGATTGACTCGCAACGCGTTTCTTTTCAATAATAGTCTAAGAGCCCGCTTTTTATTTTATTATTTTTTTAAAATGAATTTTTTTATAATTACTAAAAAAATAGAGAAGTACATGGTAGGGGGACATGCAGCCAAAACCTACCAGGAAGCCGAATACAAGGATTAAATGATATAAGGAAAAGCCATAGCATCAAACTTAAGGATGTTGAGAAAGCGGTTGGATTTAACATCAACCCCATTGGTGATTGCCTTAGCAGCACAGTTTACGGCTTAAGGAATGTGCCTCAATGTCATTTGATTTTGATGTAAAATACGCCGAATGCAAGTGAGGGTGAAAATGACGCCCCAAAATTTAACACACTGGAGATTGATTGCTTGAACAATTTGAAGATCACTGACTTCTATGCAATTGATTTTTATACTCCCCTCTCTGCATGTATTAAGAAACAAGTAAATCATTTCAAAATAAACTTTGTATGGGAACTGAGTAAAGGAGCTGTGCAAGTGATGGGTTATCCTCTCCCCCCGATGATTACGAACGAGGAAACCAAAGTTATGAGTGTAGGAAGTATTAGTGTGAGCAATGCTAAGGGTGAATTGGTTAATCGGTGGAGGAATCCAAGTGAGGATACGAGTATAAACTTTAGAGGAACGCTTAGCAAAACTGGCTTTTTGGATGTTGTGGAGATCTTTCGTTATGTTGAAAATGCCTCAGAATTGTTGGGCATAATGTCCTCATAAAGTGTAGCATTACGCATTTTCCAAAGGGTCCAAAGAATATTGACATAACAGAGGAAGTCTTTATGGTTGGTCCAATTGAGAACATTCTCCTTGAGGTTGCCTTCCAACCTTTGACTCGGAATATTAAAGTGCGACCAGATGGAAGAATGAGCGGGGCAGGTCAAGAAATAATGATTCAGAGAGTCAAAGTGGTTGGAATGAGGACATTTAAAAGGACCATAAAAACCCATCTTTTGGAGAGAGATAGCATTGACAACCAAATTGTTACTAATACGCCAAAGGAAAAACGAAACCTTTTTAGGAATGGGATTTTTTCCAAATAATTTCCAGTTTAGCATTTTTGCAATGCTTTTTGCGAATCACATCATAGGCCGATTTTATTGTGAAAATGCTAGTTTTGCTATGGTTCCAAATGATTTTATCAGGTTCATTATCAAAGGGGGGGGGGGGAGAGGTGGTCAAGGCCTGCCTAACATCAAGGGGAAGATCCCCGGTGTGCCCTTTAATATTGCTGTAGGCGGCACTGATAGTTAGATTAGGGTTGTAGTTCTCAGAAGAGAATCTGTGTAACGGTCCAAAGGAACTCTAATTGGAGTCCCAAAAGGACCTCTTCTCGGCATGCACAATCACAACAGTGTTTTCACTATATATGTGTTTTACAAGTACATCGAATTCCAAAAAACAGATAATCTAGGAGAGCGCATGGAATTGAAAAGGGTAGCCCAAATGCTTTGATCTTGATGTGTTTTCCACCAATGTTTCAGAAAGAAACTGCTTTGAACCTCATGTAACCTGCGAAACCCAAGCCCATTCTCATTATAAGGGTATGAGCAGTTAATGCAAGACCTCCAGTTATAGTGTTTAGGAGAATGGATATCCTTATTCCAAAAAAAATTAGAACAACGTTGTTCAATGTCATAAAGCACACTTTTAGGGACATGTGAGGAAGCCATAGTATAAATCGGAATAGTGGACAGAACATGTTTGATCAAAACCATCTTACTGGCTTGGGAGAGCAATTTGTACTTCCAACTATTAAGCTTTTGGTCAATTCTGGTGATGTGGTGGGAAAAATATATATTTTTTAACACGGCCCAAATAAATATTAACACCAAGGTAAATAAAAGGAAAGGATCCTTTGGTCATTTAAAAGACATCGTGAATCATATTATTCGTACCAGGGGGAGAGTTAGAGGCAATATAGAAGAAGCTTTTCTCAGTGTTAGTTTTCTGCCCAGAGCTCATAACAATTAAGCAATTTAAAAAGTTTTTTAAGGGTGTGCTTGTTCCTATTTGAGAAGATAATCAAGTCATCAGCATAAGATAAATGGGTAATGATAGGGAGACCAACATGGGAATAGTAAGGCTTACCTCCTCCAAGGGTATATAAAGCATTTAGATTCCTGGAAAGAGCCTCAGAGACGATGATAAAGAGAGAATAGGAGATAAAAGGATCTTCTTGTTTCACACCACGCGAAAAGGGTTGAAAAAACCATATAGGGAGCCATTTATTAAAACAGAATACCAGGTTCCTTTGAGATTGTTGAAAATGAATTTATTAAAATACGGGTCAAATCCAAGTTTTTCTAGGACCGAGTTAAGAAAAGTCCAGGAAATACGGTCAAAAGCCTTGATCATGTCAATTTTGAAAATGACGTTGTGCCTCGTAACCTTTTTAGTCAGGCATTTGGTTAGCTCTTTCATAGCTAAAATATTATCAGCAATTTCTTTACCATGTTGAAAAGCAGTTAGTTCCTTGGATATGAATTTGTTGAGAAGGGGGGTAATCCGAGTAGTAAGGACTCTGGTAAAAATCTTGTTTATGAAATTGCCAAGACTGATAGGCCTGGATTTTTGGAAACTGGTTGGTTGGAAGTCCTTAGGGATGAGGGTGATAAAAGTATAACCAATGCTCATGGGAATAGGAGCCCCACAGAAGAATTTTTGAGCAGCATTGAGGAGGTCATTTTTAATAATGTCAAAACATACCTGGTAGAAACAACCATTAAACCCGTCCGGTCCAGAAGCACTTTGTTTATTTAAATAAAAAACAGCAGTTTTAAGCTCATTAAGGGTTACAGCGGCAAGAAGAGAGGCATTATCGGCCTGAGTAATGCAGCAAGGAATACCCTGTAATAACAACTCAAAGTCAGTAAGATTGGTATCCTCATCTTGCTTTAAAAGACATTGAAAATAGTTGACAGCCAGTTGACCAATGTCCTTATGGTCCTCCACCCAGTTATCAGTAGAGTCTTTGATTTTGTGGATGGTCAGTTTGTTATGTTTGGCTTTGACATAGTTATGAAAGAATTGAGAATTAGTGTCACGATCTTTACTCCAGTTAATTCTAGCTTTTTGCTTGTAAAAATTGGTGACATCCTTTTGTTTTAGGATAAACTCAGCAGATATCAGATTTTCCTCCTTAAGAGAGAGGTCATCCTCGGCCTTTTTAAGGTTTTGAAAAATGTTGCCAAAGGAGTTGACATTCCAAAATTTTATAACCTTTTTCAGTGTTTTTAGTTTTTGTGTGAACATGAACATACCAAAGCCCTGACAAAGTTCAGACCAGGAGTTTCTAATAATTTGTTGGAAGTCCGTATGGTCAGACCAAATATTTTGAAATCTAAAAGCAGTGGGGTGA